CGGTCCTTTCATTTAGTTCATGCTGTGAAACTGTACTTCTGTCAGTCCTGTTTCAAGTTCCTCTTAAGAGAATGTGCCCAAAGACAGACTGAAGGACACTCTTAATCAAACCCAAATGTGTGTTTGTGTTTGCATTTTGTTTCTTTTTAAACTGTAAAGCCTAAAAACACATTGAAAAGGTCTGGGAGAAACGATGAACAGACACATGGACATAAAACCCTTCTGATGTCATGTAAACGTAAACCACATGGAGCAGCTTTCACCTGTAAACACAGTTTGTGAAACCATTCATTCTGAAATGTATGCAAAAAGTATGCTAATAGAGCCACCTCCATTTCATCAACTACCAGTCCACTATAACTATCTATCAGCGCTATAAACTGATTTGAGGAGCAAACGTGAAATATGAAAGCTGAAAGGTTGTGGTGAAAAGTAGCTAAAAGTGAAAAGTAGCTTAAAGAAATGTAAGGGATGTTTGAGCAACTCTTTTGCAAATTAAAGTAATAAGAAGCTACAGCAGTTACCAGGGAATTATAATGACAAGAACATTTTGCACAAACAACAACAATTTACTTTTTGCACATGCTGTGAAAAATATGAAATTGTAATTGGCCCAAAATATTGCAGTGCATCTCTATGTCGAATGCTGAAAATGATTTACAGAAGCTTAAATAGACTGAACTACAATATCTAAGGAAACTGCCTTTAAGACGATGCCTGTTTGTTAGATGTGATAAAATTAGATCCTCCAGGTATAAATTGTCAAGAAGTTGCTTAGAGAGAATAAAACAAAACTGCCTCAGCAGTAGTCTGTACATACTGTATAGATACTGTATAGATTTGACACACAATGTGTGTGTGTGTGTCTGTGTGCATGTCTGTGTGTATACTCTGATGTTTTTATTTCAATTCCTCCAAATCTCTGCAGACCATCTGTACAATGGTTGCTATGAAACAGCAGTGAGCTGCAAAGCCTTCATACCAAACAATCAAACATCTGATCAGGATCTGTATCAACACCTTTATAAACATTGGCAGCCTCTGAGCAGTGTTGGCAGATCAAATAGACAGTTTCTAGCCCAACAGAAACCTTAAATGCCTACAGTACCATGAATGCAGTCTGAAGCTCAACCTGGATAGAAACCATGTAAAACCATTGCAAATGGAACAGGATACATGTTGTAAACATACAATCTTTATATTTGCATCAGTACCAAGACTAAATGTTAAAGAGGCCACCATAAGGACGGGTATACACCGTACGATTTTTGAAAATCTTGTCGTTGATACCATCACACACTGTACGAGTGATGTACGGACAAAGCTCACGATTTATGTACTCACACTGTACGGTCCGATCATCGAACACGACCAGAGAGCTCACACTGTGCGGGTGAAAACGGCCCGTCGGCCCCTGCTGACTGTCCTGTCTATTGACAGCTGTCAATAAAGATTTATTTGAAAGTTCCAACGCCGGTTATTAGCAACATGCTATTCAAAAAGAAGAAGGCTGCCATTATGATTGCTGCGATACTGTGCACTGAAAATTCGAAAAATAAGAGGCGCCGGCGCATCTGGAGTCGGAAATGGCTCAATAAACGTGGACAGTACGTTTATTGTTTCTTACGTTTATTGTGGACAGTGCCACAATTCTATCAATCTCACCTCCATATTTTCATGTAAATCCGATATCCGAACCTCCGTCGGACGGTCGGAAGAATTTCTGACATGTCAGAAATTTTGGAGGGCCGACAAATTCTTTCGCACAGTGGAAGCAGAGCCCCGAGCCGACCAGAGCATTTCTCCATCAGTGCGCCTGCGCAAAGTGATAGTTACCATGGCGAGGCGTCGGTGGCATGAAAATATGGAGGCGAGGTTTTATTTGTCAGAGTTGGTGCAAAAGAACCCAGATTCACGCAGTACCTCCAGTGATTAAGCACTTCATTTTGTAAGTAATTGAGCTTAAGTGACTAAGTGCAGTTTGTGGGAAATGCTTCGTAATTATCATGTAATCAAATTTTGTGCAAATTTGTATTTGTGGTCAATTGAAGGAAATCAGAATCTGCAAAAAATCAATATTAGTAAACAATTACCAGAGGTGGAAAAAGTACTGAAAAATGTAATTAAGTAAAAGTAATGTGATTCTTTTTTGTGTGTTTTATGTCATAAACGGCCATGACATAAAACACACGAAATATACCACTAACAGTAAAACAAATTTCTCATTAGACACAATGTTGATTTTAATCTAAATTTTAATATTTGAAGTCTATAACAACTTCTGCATTTCTCCCTCCATCTACACAACTGAAGTGTTCTGAGCTGTGATATGACTAAGAAAGAGAAGCCTATAGAGAGTTATTACAGCTTCAAAAGCCGAGACTGAATGGTGATTGAGAAATCAACAATGAGACCCTTTGAGGAACTTCCTAAATGACCTCCTACAAAAGAACTCAAATTTGAATTTGTTTTAACAGAAAATCAACTCCAGGTCTCTGATTGAAGCTGAATCAGCACGTTTTTGTCCTAACAGGAAATGACACACAAGAGGAAGACTGCTTCCTGTTTTACTATTGCATCACATGGACAAATGTTTTGCCTGCTTTTCGTCAAACCCATGTTTTTAAAGTGATGGTTATATTTTGGAGTTTATATGGGGTGGTTCACCTATGGATCCTTCCTTGATGTATCACACTTGTACACATCGCACCAACCACCAACTCGATTATCAATCCTTCTACAGCCAGTCTAACTGACATAGAGGAACAAAGAAAACGGAAGGAGACAGGTCTGTTTAAGTGTAGCACTGACACTTCTGGAACCAGGAAACAGCCAGACACAGACTCTTACTTTTACATTTTAGAAACTAAATGGTGACAAGCTTTAAAAAGCCCTTATCTCCTTCATCAAATTACATTGACAGAGCACTGAGTTAAGATCTCAGAAACACTGTTTTCTGAGAGCTTAAATCATCATAAATCATTGTGTTGGCCTACTGTGGCTTATTATAGCAAATGTCTGTCAATAATTTAAAGCCTATTTAAAATATTTCTGACAAAATACAATTTAACTCACACTCCAGTGTGCTATAAAGTACATTTACTGGACTTAAACTAACAATTAGTTTTGGGCGTTTAGTGTTGGGCTATCGACCTAAAACCTTTGAGTATGTAAACAGGACATGCCCACATCTTGTACTTTTGAAAGGATTAAAAGTAAATAAATAAAAACAATCATCAGATGGCGTTGTGCATGCATGTAGACGAATGACTGTGAGAAGTCAGGTTCTATCAATGCAACAACAATACTGCCTTTTCACTCTCTCTGCTTTCTTCTGTGTTCTGTGACCTTACTCTGCTTCAGTGAACTCTAAATTCTGGATCCATGTTCAGTAAGGCAGAGTCCAGTCACAGCAGGACCGCCACCACTACCGAGTCACATTTCACAAGAATCAGCAGACGGATAAAGAGGAGCTAGAGGAGGTGGAATTGATTCCCACTTCATTGCACCAAATGTTGTCATATAACTTTCAGCAAAATATTACCAGGTAAGGTGTAAGTCTGTCCACCTTGCATTTAACTGCGCACAAACATTAGCGTATTCTGCACTATGGCATCTTTGGATTTTTGGATGATGCTTCTATCAAAACATAACAAATCTTAATGTATGCCTTGTTTCTGTCTCTGTTCTTGATGTAAAACACCTCCAAACTGCTGACATCATGTTTTACATAAATTAACTACCCACAACGGCAATGAGACACTGAACTGCAGCTGAAAAAAAAAAAACTTGCTGACCAGTGTTAGATTTCAGTGGTTTTCACATTTGTCTTGAGTCTGGAAGCAGAAAGCTGCTAAGCCACCAAAGGCCTTCCCAAGCACACACATTTACATAACACCAAACATTCAAAGAGAATTTCTCCTAAATTCTCTTCACACCAACTCCCCAGATTACTCCCTGCTGTTCCAAAACACCTCTATTCCCAAGGAACAATGGGAAGACTTCCATCCACTCCTTTTGATCCACATAACCACCTGTTGTTGGCCGGACCTCAAGGCTCTGTCCACTTCCTTTGTAATAACACCTTGCTCAGTGACAAAAAGGTTCATAAACATGTCCTCCAACACCACTGAATCATGGAGCAGCAGCGCCACATAGTGGTGACTGCAGGCACAACCATGGTAATATGACTGGCCATAAGAGGCACAACCTGTCTTCCATTGGTCTACCACATTTAAACACACCCGTGAAGTCGAAAACCACTCCCCCCAGACAGGTATAAAAGTGCACATCACTGCTGATGCATTGGAGGTTATTATTGACTTTGCGTATTAACAACTGTTGCACGAGATTTTCTTGAATAACAAAAGGAAAGGAAAGTGAATTATTTGTCATTGTGACACAGCACACCACTGCACACCACGAAATGTGACCTCTGCTTTTAACCCATCACCAAAGTGAACAGTGGGCAGCTTTAAGTATCCAGGGAGCAGTGTGTGCTGGTGGACTCGAACCTGAAGCCTTCCGGACCCAAGTCCGCTTCTTTACCTACTAAGCCACCACTTACAGTTGTATGAAAAAGTTTGGGCACCCCTGATCATTTTCAAGATTTTCCTTTATGGATCATTGGTTGTTCAAAACAGCAATTTCAATTAAATATATCATATAGCAAACAAACACAGTGATATTTAAGAAGTGAAATGACGTTTATAGGATTTACAGAAAGTGTGCAATAATTACTTAAAAGTAGGCAGCTGCATACATTTGGGCACCCTTGTTGTTTTATTGATTTGAATACCTT